TTACATTTCTCATATTAATATTAGTTAATTGCTACATTGCTCATTAAAGTAAAAAAAAAGTAGTTAATTTTTACATTTCTCATATTAGTTAATTGCTACATTTCTCATTAAAGTATTAATTAGAAGTAGTTCGATTTTTTTTCAAGGAAAACAAATTGTTACACTAAAATATACTCATATTTTAGTTCGAATTTGCTATAGTTTTCTTAGTCACATTTTATTATTACTATTGTACTCATATAAAATATTTGATATCATTTAATATTTGTTCAATTTTAAAGATGGAGCGTGGTAGACATTCTGTAGATGTGGGTAATCTCCAACGCAACCGCAAGAGGGAGATTGTGTCGACTCGTCCTACTTCACGCAAAGGCAAAGGTAAAGCGCGGGCCGAGTCTTCTTTTCAAAGTCGAGATGATTTTGAAACGGATTATCAACGGAGAGATGATATGATGATGTCCGACGAGCAACTACAAAACCTATTGTCCCAAAATGATCCACGCTTTGCACAAGAACAACAATTCCCGACAACCATTGATGAAGAGGAGCTCGAGGATGACGATGCGGAGGAGGACGCGGGGGCGACGGGAGTCACGGCACCCCGGATGATGAGCAAGAGTTGGAGGACGAGGGCGGTTCAACCCAAATTGGTAAGAAATCTAAATCTCCTATTATTGAAAACAATTTTACAAAAAGGAAAGACAAAAATACCGATAAATGGTACGCAAGTTGCAATCATTGCAACAAAGAGTACAGCTTGGGAACTTCTGGCGGATACGGGAGTCTGACAAGGCATCTTAAGTCCGCCCATCTTGTGGAGTATGCAAAAATAGACAAAGGCAAGGGGAAACAAACACAAATATCGAGGTTTGCAAATTCTCAACCCTTTGGTAATTTCTCCTATAATGATCAAAAACATTTGACTGGTATGTCTCATTTAATTGTTGAAGAAAATTTACCTTATATTTTTTCCGAAAGTCTTGCTTTAAGAGATTATGCTCAAGGTACTTTAAATCCTCAATTTAGAAATTATAGTCGCAAAACGATTAAAAAAGAAGTTATAAGGCAATATAACTTCGAAAAAGAAAAATTACAAACATTTTTCGCAAACTTTGATGGACGTGTTAGTATTTGTAGCGATATATGGGAGGATACTTATCATCATTTATATTATTTGGAATATGCATAAACGTGTTCTTGCTTTTCGTGAATTCAATGATCATCATACTGCTGATAATATTATATTCTCATTGAGCGTATTTTAATTGAGTATAATTTGCTTGATAAGGTGTTTGCTGTAGGTTTTGATAATGCTGGTAATAATATTGCTGCTATACCTAGATTGCGTGAATTGTGTGGTGCTTCTACATTGATGGGTAGGTTTTTTCATCAACGTTGTGCATGTCATATTCTAAATTTGTGTGTACAAGATGGGTTAGCGGCATTAGGAAATGCTTTGGAAGTAGTGAAGGGGGGAATTAAATTGATTTGGGCTAACACTCCACTAAAAATGCAATGGGGGCAATATTTGAAGGAAAGACGTGTCAATTATTGTGCTTTTCCTTAAGATTTGTCTATTCGTTGGAATAGTACTTATAACTTAATTCAAGTACTTATTAGATATAAAGATCATTTTCCTGCTTTTTTAAGACAAACTTGTAACTATATTATAAACCCGGCTGACATCGACACTTGTGAAAAAATTGTTAATGTTTTGGATTTTAATAACGCAACTCAAACTTTTAGTCATGTTTATAAACCTACCGCAAACGAATTTTTTGTTGAAGCTGTTAATCTCGCCGACGCTTTTTTAGAATTTTCCGATGCCGCCTACATTAGTTATTTTTGTGATTTCATGAAACTAAAGTTTTTAAAATATTATTCACATATTCCGCATATATATGGTATTACATTTGTTCTTGATCCTCCTTATAAACTTGCCTCGTTGGCAAATTGTATAGATTACTATTATGCTTCTTTTTTTTTCAACTCAAGAGTTCGATGATAATCTCATCGACCCTAAACAAGAATACAACGAGGTTAGTAATTTATTTCATCAATTGTATAATGAATTTCATGCACAGTATGGTAATGCACCCCCTCCCATGCCGCGAACATCTTCTTCATCTAAAGGAAAATCACTTCTAAAATCTGCATTTGGTTCTCTTTTGAAAAAATGTAAAGCAACTCCCGCTACAGAACAAAACTCAGTTAACGAGCTTTCTTTGTATCTAACATTGAATGTTGATTATGAAGTTGGGGATGACTTTGACGTTCTTAAGTGGTGGAAGGAAAATGAAAGAACGTTCCCGGTTTTATCAAAGATGGCTAAGCAAGTGCTAGCAATGCCGATATCAACAGTTGCCGTGGAACAAGAATTTAGTGCGGCCGGCAACGTCCTAACCGATTATAGAACGAGGTTGAGCCCGAGCTCTCTTGAGACGCTAGTTTGCTTCCACGATTGGTTGAAGGCCCAACGAAGAACTCAAGAAATGACCATCGCTCACACCCGCCACTTTATGGAGGAAACAACCACCGAAGGCGGAGATTCCGATTGATTTTTTATTACAAAATGTATTACATTTTTTTAAATTCATCCTAATTCTCAATTGTACTTCTTATTTGAAATAAATATACTTGAATTATTTTATATTATTCTTTACATCAATTCAATAATTCTCAAAAAAAAAATTATTCAATAATCAATTCAATAAAATTAATTTGTAAACTTGTACTTCATATTTCAAATAAATATGCGTTCATTTTTTCATATGTAGCACTTCTCAAATTAATTAATTGGTTACAAACTTATAACTTACAACTTCAAATTGTTTTTGTAAAATCTAAAGGCTGTTTTTAAATTAAAATATGTAATATTAATATGTAAATTAATTAATTGGTTACAAACTAACAAGTTACAACTTCAATATGTAATTTGTTTAAATACTTATACACATATTTTGTAACATTTGTAAATTATAAATCAAACCACTTTTCTAAGTAAAAATAGTTTTACTTACTTAATTCATTAAATTAATTAACTTATTTTACAAAATGTATAATTTTCAAAAAAAAAAAAAATAAAAACATTTTAAATTACAACATAGCTCCCAAACGGCTATATAGCCATTGGGGCTTAGGGTGGGGGGCAAGGGGGTCCCGGGGGTGGTGGTGTGGGGGTGGGGTTCAAAAAAATCTATAAATACATCTATTTTCTACCATTTTTCTACACCTCTTCTCCAACTCTTCTCCAACTCTTCTCCATCTTCATTTTCTCTTATTATCCTACATTTCTACATTTTTACTTATACATCTACCATTTTAAAGATGGAAAGTAATTCTTCTTTTATGCAAAACAATTTTGATAAGTGGAAGGACCCGAAGACCGGACTGTGGTGGGTAGGGATGGACTCGGGCCGGGCGGCCCGGCCCGGAACCGGCCCGGTTACTGTTTGAACCGGCCCGGCCCGGGAACCGGTCCGGGTCGGCCCGGCCCGGTTACTGTGCGGTTCGGGCCAAATTAATTTTTTTTTTTGAATTTTTTTTAAGTTTTTGGGTTCGGCTTGGTATTTTGGGCCATTTGAGGTGGTTTGGGGGTGAGGGAAAGGGTTGGGGGTTAATTAGGAAAAGCCAAAAAAAAAAAAATAGAACCGAGGCCCGGCCCGGACCCGGGATTACCCGGACCGGTTCCGGGCCTCCCATTTCTTAACCGAGGCCCGGCCGGGCCCAGGCCCGAACCGGAACCGGTCCACCCATAGTGGTGGGCAACTTGCAAGTGGTGCAAGAAAGAGTGTTGCTTGGGGCTATGTTGCACCGATACTTCACCTCGATGCCGTATCCGCGTATCCGATACGTATCCGTATCCGATACTCACCGATACGCGTCCTGTACGTATTGGGTCCGTATCCGTAATTTAATAAAAGTATCGGGCTTAATTTTAAAAATATCTATACTTCTGATACCCGTATCCGTGAACCGATACGCGTATCCGAACCTATAACCCCTCATTTGATACACGACATGACGAAAATTCAGTAGCTGCCCATGCGACCACAACATGTGGAACATTGATAAAGATGGTTTCGGGAGTATGAAAAATAACGGAATACTATAATTTGTCATTTCATTGCTTGATGAGCTTTAATTGAAACAAGACTTAGATGTAAATGCAAATAGAGAACAAAAAAATATTATTTGAATTTAAATCAAAATATCAATACTTTAGTTTTTTAGACTAATCTTTGAAACTTTATTATAATAGTTAATTTTTTGTACTATTATTATTTTATTTATGAACCCTTGAATTATATATATTTGCAAATTATACCCTATATTTTTATTATTTATAAATATACCCCCGTACCCGTATGACCGTATCCTATAATTTTTTAAAGTGCCGTATCGTCGTACCCGTATCCGCGTATCCGAGTATCGGCGTATCCGTATCCGTGCAACATAGGCTTGGGGCGTTCACACGGAGTCGGGATGCCAATAAAACATATGAAGTCATGTGACAAAGGCAAAACAACAACCAACAGTGGCGGAAATTCCAATTGATATTTATTAGAAAATGTATTTCATATTGTTATTTTTTTCTCAATTCTCAAATGTACTTCCTATTTCAAATAAATGCACTTGAATTTTGTTTTTAATAATAATTATTATAATAATATAATATATAATTTTAAAAAAAATTAAAAGGCCCGGCCCGGCCTGTGAACCGGGCGGGTGACCCGGCCCGAACCGGACCCGGGGGTTACCCAGGCCGGTTCCGGGCCTCCCCTTTCCTGAACCGAGGCCCGGCCAGTCCTAGGCCCAGCCCGGGCCCGACCCGGCCCGGGTCCATCCCTATTGGTATAATGTTCATTTTAAAATGTCATATTCATACATATTTCAAAAGTATAATTTTACACTAGATTTGTATATTCGATTAATACAGGTTCATTATATATATTTTAAAAAATAAGAAAAACAATGAATTACATGATATGCAACTAATATCACAGTGCTCCTTGATTTCTAATAATCAACAAAATAAGTTTGATGCTCGCTAAAAGTTCATTAATGCTCATTTAACAGAAGCCGTGATTTTCATTTAAATTATGAAAATGCCACCGGTTGTACGGTACTAACCGTATAGCCGGTGGTATAGGGACCCCCCAAAATACCGGTATTTTTGGGATGGGTGCCTTTTAAGTACTATAAAATGACTTAAATCATCCATCCACTGCCAAATAACCAGGTTATTAGGTCTACCCAACAATATCTAAACTACAATCGTACTTGAGTTTTTTACAAAGTACTTGGGCAAAATCATAGCCCTCCACTCCTAGATATATACATGTCATTGAGGTAGTTTCCCTAAAGGCCTTATAGCTGCCACGCTGCTGTATTCGGACCTCATATATTTCTCAAAGGTGACTCGTAGCAGAGCGGTTCTAGCAGCTTTATGAAATCTCAAGATCATCTCAGCACAATCTCTGTGGAGCATTGGGATGTGATTAGTTTTGGAAGATAAAAATATGATTAGTTTTTTTAAAAAAAAAAATGATTAACTTTTGTTTAATTAATTCCCCCTAATCCCTACCAATCTGCTCACCCCATTGAACCACAGTCTCCGCCGCTGGAAACACTGTGATAGTGTGATAGACTGCCCTAGAAAGTCATTGGAAAAGTCCCGGAGAAAAAGTTCTGATTTTTCTGAAAATCCACTGGAAAAAGTTGCCGAATCCCAGGGTAAGTGATAGTGACATAATGAAAAAACCAGTTACTTCCCATTCATTTTTTTTATATCCACGCGCAATTGCATGTAAACCTCAGGGAACTAACATTGTAATCCCCAGTTTTGTGTCACCACCCAACAGAAGTTGAAAAAAACTCCCTACTTCCTCAGTGTGTTTTGAAAAAAAGGAGACATTGGTAGTAAGTGATAGTGACATAAAAATCAGCTAGTGACATTCATAACTTTCCAATTTCATTACCTTAATCACATTTTTGCTTATTGCTTTTAAATCTGATGTCATACGTAGATTCATATTAGGCTATTAGTATTAGCCGACCTCAAACTCTTTTGGGATGAATGCTTGAATGTTAGTGTTGTAAGTCACACTTTTTCCCTTAGGTAAAAGTAGTCTTTTATTTTAATTTGGCTTGTAAATAACTCTAATCTTTGCTCAAATCATGGATACAACAAAAAAAATAATGATACTCCAGAAATATACCTGAGTTGAGATTCTTGATAGCGTGCATGACTCTCAAGCATGGGTGTCCATGCTGGAGCCATACGTAATGTACACCGTGCAACATAGATAGCCGATGCACATATCATAGATGGCTTGTAGTTCAAAGCTTCATACTCAACCAAGCACAGCTCCACAAGGAAAAATGCAAGATGTTCAAACTGGCACGAATATCAAAAGAGATTGAACAAGACTGCAGAAAATAGTGTTGCTAAATTGGGAATGGGAAATTTAAATCGACCCATAGTTATAGAATTCTCAGCTGCAACCTTTTTATCTGTTTGGGAGGCCTTGAGAAATCGCAACATGAAGACATATGGAGTTGGTACATTTAGGCGAAACATTATTTTCTTTAAAACTTCCTTCTCCTGCAAAAAGTGAAATGTATTGTCATTGGTCAAACCACTACCCAAATGCACAATATTGTTAAGTGATGCTGCACATACTAGAAGATATACAGGAGGTGTGATACAAAAGTACAGGCAGTGCTTACCATTCTTAGCATTTGTTCTCTGGTGTATGACTCTGCTGATACACTGATCAGGTCCACGATCTGTAACAAACAAACAAACAAACAAACGATTTAACTGTTGGATGCCTACACAAGTATTGGTGCTGTAAATCAAACTATGGAGCTATTCTAAACTTATAATAAGTACGATTACCTTTGGATGCCAAAAATCTTCATATTTTGATGCCAACAAGAGTGCAGTCAGGCCAACTAGCTGCAATTCATTTTTCTTGATGCATACTTGGGAGAGATACTGGTCTAAGACAGTAACCATCAGATATAGAGTCTCTTGCATCAAGTCAAATTTTACATGAACCTGTTAACAGTGGTTGGTACATTAAAGAGAGACACGCGATGCCATGAAACAAAAGAAAATACTAGTACAAATGTACGAGTAGTAAATAACAAGAAAAAATATTTCATTTAAAAAAAAACAAGAAACAATATATGTTACTTCGATAAGCCAGTTTATTAATACACCACGCATATGAGGTGTAATTTCTGTTTGAAACTTCACGCAGCATTTCAAAGGATGACGCTGAACCTGCAGTTTGAGATTGGCAACAAAAAATGTCAAACATTTTTATTGCACAAAATGACAAGGGTATTAGTGACCTAGATAAAATAAGTAGTACATTTTTATTACCTCCATAACCCAGTAATATTGATAGATATCATCAACATATTCAGAAACATCAAGGTGATTCGAATTGTCGTAAATCTGCGGCAAAGACTCTTGTCTCACATGCTTTGTTTGCTCCTTGCATTGCTAGGAAAGTCATAAGATGTTACCAAATTGTCAAGAAATAATATGCATATAATAAGCATTGCAAGGAAAGGACGTTGGAAGTAAACCATTGGTCTTGTCACTAGTAGAGATGTGAAAGACTTTCTGCGCACAGATGCTCTCTTAACTAAAATATCTGGTTGACATGAAGACAAGTCCTGGCTTTTGGCAGAAGGAATCTCTTCTGAGGGTTGCTTAGAAGATATTGGAACACTTTGTTCAGAAAGAGATGATGTGGCAATGTATTCCTTCTGCTGAAATGAAATGAAAGATTGAGACCTTGAGCTACTCTGACAATGTGTTCCTTTTGATCTTGCAGCTATCCAAGATGTGGTTTTAAGAATTGGCTGAAAATCAGAACACATAACAAAGCATAGCATAAAAAATGTTTCCAAGTATATTGTCAATCCATTTGGATGGCATCAAGTAAAACTAAGGGTTCATTCGTAAAGGGGGAAAATGTTTCCTCACTCATTTTTAATTCATTTTTCACTCTTCAGGAAATGAAATAAATATATTGCTAAATGTTTCTAATAAATTAATACGGAGTATTATTTTAGTAATAGTAATGGTAATACACATGTGCAAAGGTGATACCAGTCAACCATGATATGAGGTTTCTTACTTGTGGCAATGTGCTTTGTCCAACCTTGGGCTTTGCTGAAACTAGCAAAACATTAAAAAAAAATCATGATGATGGAAACTGTTGTCATATAACTGTCAAGTGTCAATCAAAACCACCCTTATAATATATAGCAACTGCCAACTGACCTGGAAACCCATGTTTTCGTAACCTCTTGACTGAACTCTTTGCAGCGCCCTAACCCCCAATTAGTAGTATACATGTAAGCAAACATATAACTTTCCATTTAATGATAGTAGTGATAGGATGTTCTTTAAAGGGTTCAGGTATAGCTTACTTGAGGCAAACTATTCTGTCCAACCCTGGGCTTTGCTGAAACAAGCAAAACAGAAAATAAAACTGATGGAAGCACGTGCCCCATGATTGTATGTAAACAAACTACATAATGTAAATTAGTTTCTAACCTCGAAATCCATTCTTTGGTATCCTATTCTCCAAAAAATTGGCATTTTCCTACCACAGGTTGGCAATCAAGGTTGTTAAAATAGTATTTTAGATCGAATTGGCATAAGTATTTAAAAATCAAATCAGTTAATCAAATGGTAAATCGTTAGATTTTATATAAAATAAAATAAAAAATCATTAAATTAATTATATAAAAAGAAACCATAAAATTATGTTAATAGGTGCAGCGAGTTGGTATAATATAGGTATGTTAATTGTTTTGTTAACATTAGTCGTAGTTCTCGAGTTGGTATTGCAAAGGAATTCCATTGAATAGCCTCGAGTTCAAATCCCTGTCAAGGCAGCATTTTTTTTAGATATTGTTCTTCCCTTTTAGTATCTCATCCATACCGGAACGAGAGAACACTTCCTCCTCTGGATTGCGCTATACAATACTCCTCTTGCTACGCAGGCAGGCAACAAATCAAGTCGCTTAGGTTCACTCTCGGCCTTATTCATTTCAGCTATGTCAAGTAACTCAAAATCATAAAGTCGCGATTTTACTCGTTTCCCCCTGATTTTAGCATGATTTCTTAAAGAAATCTAACTTTGTATATAGTTCGAGTCCATTTTATGACTTTTAATAAGTTGTGCTATTTTATGAGCCAACTCTCAATTTAATAACTTTGGTTGACATACAAAGCACTTTTGTTAATCCCGGATAGCGGAGCGGAGCATAGCGGCCAACCCCAAAAACGCTATAGTAGTATAGCGGATAGCGGGATGACCGCAAAATGCTATAGTAGTATAGCGGATAGCGGGATGACCGCTATTTACAGAATATATATACAAAGTACATATTATATGTGTGCATACGATTACATGACATGCATATATCAATTCCAAGAAATGATAAACCACAAATATATTACTCAAACGTCATGAAATTTACACTTACTAATTTACCAATAAAGAGGCATTAATGTCTTAAACAAAAGAAACAAATAATTTAAGTACCTTACTTCTAAACATTAAAAATTAAGTTCCAGATAATTCTTGATAAATTTGCAGTCGTTAATATCTAATTATAACAAAATCATGGTTGCTGGGATGCCTTGAACTACCTTAACATGGAGATGCATGTTATATTGTTATAGGTTATGTTTGATCTTGGTTTCTGTTTTGAGTTATTTTAGTAGGGTTATTTTGTCCCCCACGTGTTTAGGAAGGTGTATTGAGGTTATTTTTTACTCCAAAAACATATAAAAGTAAAAAGTAGGGAAAGCTGTCGATTTGGTCCTCGTACTTTCATGAAAAAGTCAATTAGGTCCTCGTACTTTAAAAAAATCATTCAAATCCCCGAACTTTTTAAAAACGTTCAATTGAGTACATTTGCAGGTTACTTGCCATGTCACTATGTCAGCAGGTCACCCGCTGACGGCACACATGGCGGACAACGTGTGTGCCACTGATATGAAGCGGGAAGAGCATGGGGCGGGACGGGCTTGAGCCCACCTCCGTGGGCTGGTTGCGGGCTGTTTAATTAATATTTATTATTCCTTTTATTTTGTTTCCTAATAGGATTTATTTATGACTTCTATTCTTATTAGAATTAGAGGTTTCCTATTTCTATTTAGTTTCCTAGAATAATTTAATTAGGATTCCTATATTTTATTAGACCTAGAAGGTTATTTATACCCCTTGTATGCTTCATTCTTGATCATCTTGGAATAAAAGTTGGTTTAGCCTTTTGGCTTTGGGCAACAGTATTTATTTATCGTTGATTATCTAGGCAACGGTTCACTCCGTTGATTTTATTTTTCTGTTCATATCAATTGGACCGACCTGCCGGATCCCGTCCCGCCAAGATGACAAGATCTCAGAACGGTCGTTTGACAGAGATGAGGGCCGAACAGTTCCGAATGACGACTGAGCAAAGTCGGTTGAAGCAAACACTGAAAGAAAATGGCAAGTGGCTGGCTGAGATCGCCGCATCCCTAGCAGTGCTGACCAAGGCCCTTGTGCCACCAATCGCGACGGACCTAGCAGCGCTGACCAAGGCCCTTGTGCCACCGATCACGACGGAGACACCATCAGACACAGTCATCAGTGCCGCCATCGTAGCGGCAACACGCAACGACGAACCTCCGCGCAGCACTCCTCCAACGTTGCTGCCCATGTTCAACCGAGAAGATCCGATCAGGGAGATAGCTAGGGTTGAGCAACAGTTTGAAATTAATCCAACCCTACCTGAGAGGAAAGTGGCCGCAACCACGGTAGCCATGGAAGGAGCTTCCTTGAACGGGTTGACCTGGTTGAAGGCACAAAAACCAAGCACGACCTCGGGGAAATTTACACAAGCATCAGTGGCCCGATTTGATTCACGGTTCAAAGAAAGCCAATTCAAACGACTGTTCGGGGTCCAACAGTTGGGAACCGTAGAGGAATATAGTAACCTTTTTGTTCAATCTGCCAGCCGGGTTCCCGGACTGTCCGATGATTATTACTTGAGCTATTCCATGAAAAAGCTGAAAGGATCGAGTGGCAGCTTTCCTCAAGATACTGGGCAGCCCCCGGGGACAAGTGTGAGCCGGTATCTGGATTCCAACCTTGAGGACAAGGTTAATTTGAAGGAGGATGGATTGATATGAAGCGGGAAGAGCATGGGGCGGGGCGGGCTTGAGCCCACCTCCGTGGGCTGGTTGCTGGCTGTTTAATTAATATTTATTATTCCTTTTATTTTGTTTCCTAATTTAATTTGTTTCCTAATAGGATTTATTTATGACTTCTATTCTTATTTTTAGGATTAGAGGTTTCCTATTTCTATTTAGTTTCCTAGAATAATTTAATTAGGATTCCTATTTTTATTAGACCTAGAAGGTTATTTATACCCTTGTATGCTTCATTCTTGATCATCTTGGAATAAAAGTTGGTTTACCCTTTTGGCTCTGGGCAACGGTATTTATTTATCGTTGATTATCTAGGCAACGGTTCACCCCGTTGATTTTATTTTTCTGTTCATATCAGCCACGTCATCAACAAATGGCTGACCGGACTTCCGCATGTGTGCCACATCAGCAAAATTATTGATGATTGGGCTGCCACATGTGTGCCACGTCAGCGGGTGACCTGGTGACATGACAAGTAACCTGCAAATATACTCAATTGAACGTTTTTACAAAATTTGGAGATTTGATTGATCTTTTTAAAAGTACGAGGACCTATTGACTTTTTCATGAAAGTACGAGGACTAAATTGACAGGTTTCCCTAAAAAGTACTCCTAAATTCCCTCAAAACTAGCACTAGAGTAGCCCTGTAAATTATAGCGGCGCTATAGCGCCCGCTACAACCGGTATTCTTCCCGTTATAGCGCCCGCTACAGCCGCTATTGCCGACTGCTCCGCTATAGGCAGTTTCTTAGCGCCTAGCCCCTGCTCTGCCCCACTATTTCGCTATAGCGCCGCTATAGCCCGCTATTGAAATCACTGATACAAAGTAAATTTTTCTATTTAATGCACCATGTTGTAAGAGATAAAGAAGTGACAAGATAATAGTAACCACCTTTTTTGAAATATTTGTGTGCCGTGCATTTGACTCCTTTAATGCCGGTAGAGATCTCCTACAAGTAAGAAAGCTGAATAGGCTTTTGGTTGCACAAGAGAAATAATTACAAGAGAAATAATTACAACAGATACATTAACATTGCAAAAATCTTGATGGCGAGGGAGAATTCTTTCCAGCTATTAGAATATACCAAAATGAAAAAAAATCATTACTAGAGCAAGACACCTTACCATCTTCTAGTGGTAAAAGACATAGGGCTATGGCCCTTCTTCACATCAAATGTATCCACACCATTAACCCGCTTTAGTGCGGGCACAGACTTCCTAGAACAACTGCTAATCAGTACAAGTTATCTATATAGTAAGAAGACAGAGATGCTAACACAAGATATGCAGCACACCACAAAAGCTGTAGTGGCAGGACAGGATTATTGCCAGTTGTCCTTGACAGAACAAAAGATGGAAACTAAATGCACAATGTCCAGGGATTTTAACAAAAGACTTTCTTGGTAAATCCAGGGATTCTAGCATGATTTTTTACCATGATTTCTATGAAGATTTTAGTTCCCGCTTTATTAATTTCCAAATATGCTAGTATTTGTGTATATTGGGAAACATATTTAGATCTTCATTAAAAAGGAAACTAGGTCTTTTACTATATTACTATATATATAAATATGTGTTCTTGACTTTTGTATAAACAGTAATTGGTCGTTTGAAAAGGAATCTAGGTCTTTTTCTGGAATACATAAACAAGAAAAAAAAAATTCATAGCTCTAGGTTCTGGAACCCCAACAACTCCTCTAATTATCATCTCTAATATCCCCTTTCATCTACAAATATCTGCTCCTCATGGCTAATCTGAATCCGCTATCCAAGGATTGTTCGTTCTACAACCCATCTGCTCTAATCTTTTCCCCATCATTTATTCTGTCCCCCCTCTCTCCTGCCACAGAAAACAAACTTGTCCCTAACTACTAGCAGGGGTTTCAATCCAAGATGATGTCCATGATTGGGAGCAGCAAGGATGAGTATCTCGCGCAGTTCCAGAAAGTGTTTAGTACAAAATACAGAGTGCAGAAGAGAAAACACTTTTGACTCTTCTGTTGAAATATGGAGTATAAACTAGAATAATATTTGAAGAGGGAGAGACTTTATGTGTCTTTATTGGAGGTTTAAGTCCCTAAAAATATACATTGCAACTTCACAAGATAGAATCAACAACAACATCCAAGCCTTAGTCCCAAACGATATTGGGGTCGGCTAACATGAATCGATACATGATATCGCCAAAAGGAAAAGAAAGAAAATAAAGATAAAAAGGATAAGCTATTATAAAAAAGATAATATAAAAGAGATGAATATTCCTATAAAATTCGATACCATATTATATCCTAGAGTATATTCCTAACACATTCTTACATTAATTCTAATATATTTCATGCTCCCCCTTGATTTGGAGCATAGATATTTATCATGCCCAACTTGTTACATAAATAATCAACTTGAATCCATGGTATATCCGTATATATCAACTTGTTGCAAAAAGCAAAGTATGGCAGCTCATCGAAATACAATAATACATACACCAGTTTAAAACTCTAGGCTTTGCTTTAGGCATCTACAAAGAAATTTGGCTTAAAAGAGTGCTTAATGAACTGAAGATTGGAGCGAAGATTCTATAAAACTCTTTGCGGTAACCATTCTGCAAAGTGATTGCTAAGAATATTGAAACGTGACAATCATACTCAACTATGCTCCATCAAAAGAAGCTACAATCATCTTCACCAAGGCTCTCTTTCGACCCAGCCTAACTGATCTAACTATGAGTGTGACCAAGGCTCTATTCCGTGTACTGCCTAGCTTAAGAGAGAGGGTAAAAAATAAATATAGGGTGGTTTTATCCCTGATCCTCTGGAAGTTTTAGTTACTATATTACGGAGTATTACTTTCCAATGTATATTTATACATTGAAAATTTTGTTGATCATGATTTAGAAGGAAACAAGGTCTGCTGCTCTATATAAAAATGTGTTCATGTTGACAACGAAAAACAGGAAAAAGAGGTTATTGAAATTTCAGAGTAGCTGCACAGTGTACCAAATTCTGGAGTTTTTGTTAACCCAACAAAGATATGATGTGAAGGTGATAATACTTCAAGCCTTCAACGGAAAATAAAAAAAGGTCATGTTACCTGTTCCCAATGCTAGCAGTTATACTCCTTTTGGTCTTGGCTCGTGGATCATCAGCAGCAATAGCCTTCAAAGCTTGATTGGCTGCTGTAATAAAGAAGCAACACCTTGATATAACAATGAATTGTACTTTTACACTTCACCTCATATGCTAGTGCAGGAAGCATACCTCTCATGAACATATAATGCTTTCCACTAGCTTCAGCTGAGCCTGCGCCCCTGTTTGTCTGCTTGATAAAAAAAATCACAGAATATCTAAGCTTTAAAAAAAATGTTGCATGTAACATAACTTAAATTTAAAACCATGGAAAGGGTTGAGAGTAGAGAGGTGTCTTTTTCAAAAAAAAAAAAACTATGTTTCTGTCCATTCAGACAAGTAACAACTTTAGCAAATAAGTAAGAACAATGGCACGAAAGAATTTCACATGAACTATTAGTTCAATACCATCAATGCTTTTCTTGATGAAGTATTTGCTATTGCAGTCCCAGTGTGAATAGAACTCCTGGTAATACACATCAAATAAGAAACAAGGTGACAATTGAAAATAAAGCATCAATGGATGAATCAATAATTCTAAAATGGGCAAAGATGGATGGGGAGGATATGAAAGGGAGATTCTTTATTGATATCCATATAGCTGCATTTTAGTGGTGCACTGGTGCCGCTGAAACTTTATGAAAAAACATTCATAGATTATATGCACAACACACTAATAGTGCTTACCGCGGTAGATAAGGAAGTTTCTTGCCATTACTTTTCCTGCAATGTAAACATTTTTCCGAGTAAAGAATCATGGGTAAAAAAGAGAGATACAACTGGGCCCAATTCCTTCCTCACAGTCTAGAGACGTATATGGGCTGCAATACAAGCCCAATATCTATATCCACAAATAGTATGATGTTCAAGATTGGCATGGTTCATAATCAACAAGAGACTCTCTTCCGGAACAAACTGTATCCTTCATCAATCCAATAGATAATGTAAGATCTTAACTCTATTCATCTTAACTCTGAACGTCTTTATTCCAGTAATATAAGATAGAGTACCCACCACCCATGAAAAGCATATCCAATAGTGATATAATGTAAGGATACAGGAAAAAGGATGTAGAACGCAATGTCAAATACTCAAATACTTATTATTTATAATGTTGGGATAAGTGTCCCGAAATTCATATAATATCTTTATCAAACAGCATTCGAGGCCGTCTCCATACCGACAGTCAGTAAAAAAGGAGGCAAACACTTGGTTTCAACAAACAGATTAACCTTTCAAGCAATGGCTAATCAGAATCACTTACTTTTGTGTGGTTCCATCATGAAGCTCAGTTCTTGAAATGCTTCTCTTCGTATTGGTAATATCAGCAAGAACTTTACGTCCAGCTTTATTCCTAGCAGAAAAATTGTACTTTGTGTTGCTGATGTCAGCCAAAATTGTTGTTCCAACTTTAACTGAAAAGAAAGAGTATGTGGAGTAAATGACCCAAGGGTCATGTAAATTATAAGTACTCAGACAATTCTAGTTGGACATTACCTCCACTACCATGCTTGCTTTTACTTTTCTCCATGTTCCTCTTTGCAGTCAAAGAAGTTAAAGCAATGAGATCAATATTAGCACGTAAACAAGAATGTTCAAAACTCAAATAAATAAACCACAAAAAGCTGCACAATTTTTAAAAGATATGGCACCTTAAAAGTGGTAATGTTCTGCAAGACAGTACGACTATCAGGCTGTGCAGATTTCCTGCATAACAAATGCGAAATAATTTGTAATAAACTTAGATTGATTTTACACTGTAACTAAATTAAATATGTTAAGGAATTATTTAAAGATCAATATAACTATATACTCTTGGAATATCAGAACCTTCTTTTCAATCAAGGATAAATCTAGAATTCAATGCTTTGAAATACACTAGGTTAAAATATTGATTTAATAGGATGAATCAAGGTGTTCACCCCTCACGCACACTCACATAAATGTATACTATGGGAAAACGAGCTTACTTAAAATCGGTACAGAGAGAGATGCGGTCCCCAGCTTTAGCTTTCTTTACATCCGAGTAAATGCTAAAACTTCCGAGTCTTCCCGCGACTATAGTACAAGAATTACAAAAAAAATAGAAGCACGAATGTGATACTCCGCATTATAGTGGATATGAACCGAGAAGATGATGCTTAAACGGAAAATGCGTACCACCACTTCCAAGTTTAGGGTCTTGCACAACAAGATTGACGGTTGAGTTCGACTTACCCTGTATCAGATAAAAAAGAACATAGAGTTGAAGCGGAAATCCAGAAGAACAGAGTGAGGAGTGATGATATTATATTAGGCCTAAGGTTACCTTGACGGCCACCATTCCTTCCTTTCTTTTTTCCAAAGTAGTCAGTTTTCGGTGTGGTTGAAGACGAAAAGAAAGCAGTGTGGGGTTTGAACCATGGAAGATCACGCAGTTGCAGACTATCGATTGAAATTTCAAAATTGCACTCCCCAGCCACAGGCGTTGGCCGGTTTACGGACACCTAATTAGAGTGGTTTTTTACCAAAATGGGCAGGGAAAGCATTAAAGGTTGGTTTGCAACAACTTAAAAAAAAGCACTTCTCAGCTTTTGGCTTAAAAAAGCACTTATTTATCAAACACTACCAATTTTTTACTTTTCTCGGCTTTCGTGTCAAAAGTGTTTTCCCCTTTTTATACACCAAAAGCACTTATTTTACCAAACACAACCAACTTTTACTTTTCAAAATCACTTTTTTCTCAAACACTATCAACTTTTACAACTAATCACTTTTTCATTTCATCTCCAAAAGTGCTTTTTTTTAAGCAGAAGCTGTTGCAAACACTCCCTAAGAGCGGTTGGATCTATTTCTTAAAATTAATTAAAACAAACTAATTAAAACGCATGCATTGGAATGTTTGAGCGGAAGTCTATTTCTAAATGCTCCAAATTGCTCATGTAATTATATTTTTAAATTGCACGCTTATTAAGAAAGTGAGAATAAAGTAGAAATATGTGGTTATGCTTGAGTAAAAAAAGTAAATGAATATTAGTCATACAAAACTTTCCAAAAAGAAAAATGAAAAGAACTTTTTGGGACATCCCAAAATGATAAGTGAGAAGAATAAGCTCAAAATATTTAAGAGTTTCTGTTCGGCCGTCGGCATTTGGGGAGGTTCCCGGTGGAATTTTTTGATGAATTTTTTTGAGCATTTTCTTCATTAAGTCTAGTTTACCCATACCAAATTTCAGTTAAAATAAAACCGGAAAGGCAATCAAATGATTTTCTAAAATATACTACGATGTTTAACTGCACAGTTAGCTTCAAAAATTCATTTGACTGGCTTCCCGATTGAATTTTTATCTGAAATCTGATATGGGTAAACTAGACTTAATGAAGAATATGCTCAAAATATTTCATAAAAAAAATCCACTGGGAACTTCCCGAAATGACGACGGCCGAACAGAACCTCCTATATAAAAGGTGATTTGCACTTTTTTGGTTAATTCAAGGGCTTATTTACCCCTTTTCCCAATAATTTTATAGGATAGAGGGAGTAATCAATTTCAAACACACTCTCATTACGGTTATCAAACCACCTATGTTGTTGAATCATGACTCGAGGGCAACCTAGACAATTGCCTAGATCAAGGGTCAACTCAGGCCAGTGTGGTTAATGGTCATATCCCGATCAATATTTATTAAAAAAATACGGAGTATGTACAATTATATACTCTCTCTGTCACGAAAAGCTCCGCCAAATTGAATTTTCTGTCAATGCCAAACAACTTTGGTCAATGATGTTTTAATACGAAATTATTTTGAATATGAAAATTTTATCAAAATTTTGACAAAACGCTTTCATAACAGCATAAAATTTATAAATTATATACGAATGTAATAATTAAAATCATTATCCGAAGTTGATCATCATTAATCAAGAAACGTCAATATGGCGAGCTTTTATGGGACAGAGACAGTACATATTGTTTGATTAAAAACATAGAAGGGAAATTTGCTCCAAAACAAATTTTGTAACTTCTGAAAATTATCTGCCAACCAACAATTTTAACACGCAACTCAAGATCTATAAGACATCTTAAAAAAATAAAAGGCGACACAGCATGAGGACTAGGTCACAGTACAGAGATTTCGCCTAGGAGTAGCTTTTTTTTCTTTTTTCTTTTCTCTTTTTATCTGTTTTTTCTCTTACTTCCTTTCTCGCATTGTACTATTTCCTTTTATCAATAAAATCCTCTTTTCTAAATAAATAAAAAACACACAGAAGGGATAAAATTATTCCGATTACGATTTGTTAATGATAATATACTCCCTCTATACTAAAATGTTTACTACAATAGAGTTTCGTGCAATATATTCAAGAGAAAAGTAATGGGATAATGAATAGTGTAGGGAACAACTAGAAGAAATTTTATTTTAGAAAAGATAAAATTAAAAAACAATGGTAACTTAGGACCCATTTACCAGCAGAAATTTTTTCACCCAGTTTTTATTTCTGTTTTTCATTTTCCAGTTTTTTTTTGGATTTTTCAGTGTTTTTGTTCTCCAATTTTCTGTTTTAATTTTTCAGTTTTTCATTTTCAAATCTAAAAACATGTTTACCACATTTTCCCACCCTGTTCCGGGACTGGCCGAAAGATCGAAAGTACGATCTCGGTCCGGAACTGAACCTGTAACACCCAAATAGAGACCGGTCCCAGGTATAGGAAAGTTGGGACCGAAACTAGTCGAACCGGTCGGTCCCAACGACTAGTTTGAATACGAGCATTTTTTTCCTATTTTTATTGGTTGGCAACCCAATGGCTCGTTTGAAACTCTATACTTTGAAAAAATAATCTAAAAGGGAGGGCCGTGTTGGGACAGGGACCGTCAAGTCGTCGACTCGGCCAGACACACGGATCACTTGGTCATCGTCCGATCCAAACCAGTAGTGTCTGGTCGTCGGCCGATCATTGACCGAAATCGAGACCGGGCTGGTACCGGGTCCACCGCTAGGTGTAAGTAGGCAAATTCATTACGTTAGCACTTCACCGTCTGCATATTTTAAATTTGGAAAACTAGTAAAACTCATTTGTCCAATTCATTAAACAAAATGATACATATCTCATGTGTTATCTTTTGGAATATGATTTGGTAAACGTATTTTTTTATTTTCTTTTCTCAACTTTTCCATAAAATTCCTTCAGTAAACACATTTTCTTGTTTTCCTTTTTTCTGGTTTTCAAGTTTTTTTAAACAATGAAAAATATTTATGTTAGTAAATGGCTCCTTAGTTTTTTTAAAAAGGAAAACTTAAAAACAGGGGAAAGTGTAGCAAAATAAATACATCTAAAAAATGTAACTAACATTTCAATATGAATGGAGTGATAATTATGGAAAATAAAACTATTGTTCTAAAGCATACGAATAGAACACATGTACGATGTACAGTTGGTGATTCTTTTACAAAAAATAGAGAAAAGTGTCAAATTCGCCCTCCTACTATGTACGGAAAGTCAATTCACCTCCTAATTTAAGTTTTTTCAATTGAGCCATTCAGGTTTGTTCTTTTCTTCAAAACTTCTTTTTAGCAGGTGAAGTCCCGATTTACCAGCTCCCTGCTGACTTGGCGACGTATGTGGACAACATTAATCCCCGATTCCCCGTAAGTCGGTGACATAAAAATGAGTTGCCAATTAAAGTATTCCCTCCCTCTAATTCAATACATTTCTCATTCTCATACCTCAACGGACATAACATAGAACATTGGAGCATTTGTTGGAATGCTACTGAGGACGTTGTCAATTTCTTGGTGAAGTTAATCGAAGTTGAACATTGTTTAATAGTCAAATTCGATACCACAATGAGAGTAAGTGTTTCTTCAAAAAAAAAATGAGAGTAAGTGTTAATTTGAAATAGGGTTTCAGTCATCGTTTTATGTGAAATAGGGCTTTGTTTCGTTGAGTATGCGTGTTAAAGTGGTTCATTGATGTGCATTGATATGTGTATTGTTGTTGAGGTGCGTTATGGGTGTGTGGATGAACTAAATTTCTTTCTTCTAGCTGCATAAGAGTTAAAAGTTTATTTTCCACGTACTTTTAGTGTTAGGGGATGTTGGAAACTGATTATGATCTGCTTTTTTTAAAAGCAGAAACATAATAAAAATCAGTTTTTCAGAAGTTGTTCTCCCCCAACTTCAAAAAAACTGCTTCAAGGAGTAATTTGGGGCACTCGAAAATGCTTCTGAACTTTCACCCAAACACTTCAAAATTTATTTCTGCTACCTGGATAAGCAGAAGCAGTTTTAAGAACCAGATCCAAACACCACATTATTGTTAATGTAATGCGTCCAATGTTGATGAAGAGAACAGAAAATAAGAGACATAGCAAGGAGAATCATGAAAAGAGGTTTTGGTTTATACTTCAATGACCAGACTTGTGAAATCATTGTTGATGTAAGTACAAATTTAAAATGTACGTGAGAGAGAGAGAGAGAGGGGTTGTAGTTATAGTATATCAAAACTAATTGTGTCTTGCAAGTTGCAACCAGGACAACCAGGTGAAAGAGTGGTCCGTTGAGGATCCATAAGAACCCATAAACTCCTTTTAAATTACGATTTCAGAATATTTTGAATTTCATGTATACACAATGTGGTGTTGGACGTTTTTTGGTGAAAACTGTTGTGTATATTTTTTAAATTTAGACTTCGTGATGTTTTTGAATGCCGTGTATTGGTAGTACATATACATGGTTCTTGTAAACGATACTTTGTGCTTTATGGTTGTAAGTAAAGGAACATGCATCCTAAAAACATGAGTACATGCATAAATGACCCTTAAACTATCATTACCACATTGATTTAGTCATTGAATTATTAAATCTATCATTTAATCCTTGTCTATATCAATTCAGTCCTTCTGTTAATGTTTTGACGTTAAATTAATGGAATATGTTATGTTATTGCCATGTATGTGTAATTGTGTATACCAACTTTTATTTAATACATTGACCGAGTGAATGAAGATTAGGAAATATCTTAGGTGGGGAAGTAACACTGCTTTCTAATGCATTTGTCATAATGGTCTTTAAAAATTCACCAAAAAGACTGATGGATAGTGTACCCGGGGGTAGCTTATCCGAAGGATATCACGAGAGATATCTAGAGAGAAGTTGGAGCAATAAGTAAGAGAGAGAGAGAGTCACATTACAATAAATGAACTCGTTCTCTTTACAGAAAAGGAGACGCTATTTATAGCTACCATAAATGCTAGGCACATTAAATGCGAGTACACATGTCAAGTAATCAGTGGTTGAGGGTCACTCCAGCCGAGCTGGCGCCGGCACTGCATGTGGCACCACATTAAATGCGGTGGTTGGACGTGACACCGCATTGAATGCGGTGGTTACCTGTCTTCAAAGGGAATCTTCATTGAGAGTAGACCCTTCGGTATGCGTGACGAGGGCACCCCTTAGCCGAAGGTTGCTGTTTTAGTCAGAATCTCCCAGCAGCTTCATGGGTCAAAAATC